CAAAACATGTAGCGTTTTGAGTCCCAACTCACGCAAAATAAAAATTAAAAAAGGAAATGTAAAATGTGAAGTTTCCACGCATGTTTTGGTGTTTGATGATATCTGACATATTTATAAATTACACCCACAAACTTCTTATACAGTATTCTGCTATTAAACTTGTCGACTAGCGCGAGTAGGGCAGTATTTATCTCCTACATTTTAAAGACGTTAATTTTTCTAGATTCCTTTGTCCGATAACTCTGAACCACTGAAATGTTGTGCGGTGGTCAGGATTTTACTTGACAAGTTATCTGGATCATAATACATTTGTTGCTGGTGTAACGTAATTATGTAAATTTGCCTACGGATTTATGGTTCCTGTGTCGGCTCTGATCGGAAATGTCTGCACCATGGTTACTGTGGCGCTATACTCCTCGCGTTCAATGAATGGATACCATGTTCAGCGATGGTGGTTACTTGACACCACGTCGCATAAAGCAAAACTGAGCATTATGAAAACAAACCAAACCGGTCCCGAGAGTAATACATTTGCACTGGCTATTGGAACTTTTTTTTTATTGTGTGCTCCGTTTTGTTCAACTGACATATATTTGTGTTAATGACGTTATTTGTGTTGGAATAAATTAATACAAAACAAAATTATTTATTCCCTTGTTTTTTATGACATTTATTCAACATACGCGACTGAATAGTTATCATGCATTTTTGGGAAAATGATTATGCAGATTTAGTTTCTAAACTATTTGACATGTTTGGCATAAGGGTATATACTTATGGACCAATATGGTTGACTAGCGGCCATGTTTCAATATGACATGTGTTAAATCATAATCTTTCAAGGTATCGACGACAGTTCCTGGTCGGACATGATTGGTTCGATTTTGTTTTGATGTTATTCAAGTTTTATCGGTCCTCTCAAAACGGCTAACTGGCAACCATAATATATTTTCATTGCCGTCCATGTCAATTTCGTCCACATCCTATCCGAGGATGATATTTACTTGTTGACAACGTATGTAAAAAACACTACACATTTGACAAAATGCATAGTAATTATACTCCGGTAGCGATAAGAAAATATTAAGTTTATTTAACCCTTGTGTGGTCAGGTCAATGTAAAAGTACATGTGGCTGACAAGGTTAGGGTTAAACTGAGAACAACCCCAGATAGTATTGCTCCACATTCGTGCGACCCCCTGCCAGTTATCCAATCTCCCACAGATCACACACGAGTTAAATTTATGACGTAGTGGTGAGTGATCTCGTCAAGGAAGACCGGCCATCGGATCGTCTCCTTGATATTAGGGTTTGGTTTCGCTGGTGTTATCGTTCCGGAAGAATAAACTGTATAACATTAGGCGATTCCGCCAGCCATTCATCGCAGGACGACACTAGAGATTAGATCCCGGGTGAACGTAACGTTGATACAATTTAGGACAGCGAGCTCGAGCTTAGAGAATGATGGCTCATGAGGTAGGGAGTTGTTATTCTCGTTTGTATGCGTCTGGTAAAAAATATGGTAAGGTAAAACACGTGTTTGTTATTGGCTGAAGGTGAACCGAATAGTCCCTAATTTTACAAACCTTTGTAGCTCGTAAGTACGGCAATGAATAGGCCATATTGCTTTAATAACTCGAGCTGTATGTGTCCATGTTCTTCACGCGGTCGAAAGGAGTAGCTCTCGCGAGAATTTCCCATTGCTTTTCCAGAAATCCTGAATGAGGTGTTAACCGTGAAAGCAACTGCCTGTCACAATAGGATATAATGAAGATGTTTTCACTGCAACATAGCATGATTCTGAATCGTGTTTTTTTTAGTAGTGTTGGAGTTATTGAATAATACCAGTAACAAATTCAAAATAGGCGCTTAATGCCATTTGTGCCAAATTGATCACTAATTTAAATATTTTCTTGTTTTAGAAATTAAACCCCGTTTCTTAAGCTTTAATCCATCATGTTCGCACTTAAAATGACTGCCTAATTGCATGGATTATTTAATAAATGATCAACAAAATAATCCGCATGTAATATGTATCTGTTAATTTTCGGTTAAATGAACGATTCCGATTTTGGTTAAATTTATGAAGCACCATGCAAACACATATCATGATGAATAGTCATACGGCTATAGCTAGGACTACGTGGTAAAATGTAGTTTGCGTTTATAAATAAAACTTGGCACTAATATCTGTCAAACTGACATTTTATCGCAGCATAATGGACAAATAAATTACAACGGAAAGATGGGTTAACTTTACGAGGAGGCTATGGGCCACGCGTGTTTCAATACAGAACTAAAATATATTGAAATGTACATGTACGTTTTGTGTGTATGCTTTCAACAGTTGTGTGATCTTTTTTTTTAAATAGTTTAATAATAATAATTTAATAAAATGCAATTTAATAATAATAATTTATGTAAATTGACCCCATACCATATTTGAGACAGCATTTTGTGATTTATACAAACGTCTGTGACTATTGGGTGTCAAAATGACGTTGGGAACTTCCTGTATATATATAATATATCGACAAAAACATTTATCATGATTTGGGTTTTTTTTGCATTCATTGATTGTGCATAATCTGTTTAGTTTGAAATCCTTCGTGTCGAAACTTTCTATTTGTACGTACAGTGAACAATTTCCCCCAAAAAAATCGAAAACAAAGTTTATGTGTGTACATTTCTATATTTACAATATGGCCGTGCCATTTTGTCCGCCGTATATATTGTGCCTGTATTTTGTAAAACTAGACTTATTTGCATTTTTTTCAAAATGGATACCATATCATATACGCGCAGGATTGTATTCCGCATTATTTCCCATTTGTGAATAGTGTGGTGCAATAATTAATAAAACACATGAAAGAAACCCGATTTTTTATAAATACGAAATAACGTGTCACGCCATGTAAACACGCAAAAATGCTCTGAAAACTACATTTTCCCTGATTTTAATAAATGTCAATAAAATTCTTTGTGATTAATTGCCAAATATTTATTAATTTATATTTCTGTGTGTTCCTGTACACGAATAAATGTAACAACCTTTTGAATCACTCTCCGGTGCCATTATTTCTGCAGCATTGTTGAGTTTTTACAGTCTTGTTTTCATGCTCGTTATGTGTCGCCGGTTCTTTATCTTACTATCACCCCAGGAGTTCACCTTTGAACTGAGGACAATTTGTGAAAAAGACCGTTTGTTGTCTACGGTTACGCATGGTTATATTTTCTTTACAACCCGACACTCACCCACAGGCAGATTATAACTAATTACGTTATGTCTTGTCTGGAGCGTTTAAAAGCATTAAAATGATAACAACACATTCCACTGAGCAGGAAGTGAACAATGTCGATTTGTAACTGGCAGGTACACAGTGGGATGGTAAAGGAAGTGGCGACTGACGGGATGGCCATAGAGGTAAAAAAAAAACCTCCATGACCAATCTAACAACTTTATGAGTTTTGGAAGCGGAAGTGTTTGCGTAAGCCTAGGTTATATAGAATCATGTCAAAACAAATAAATGTATATCTGTGAATTTGTATATACAAATTAAATTATTGTCGAGTTTTATAAAACATGGGTATGAAATATTAAACTCGCATGAGGATACATTATTTTATTTACATACTTATTGAAATAAAATTGTTAACTTGTCAAGAGACTTCCCATTATGGATGCCATTACGTCAGTGTGTGCACTGTACGTCTTATAAGTCATAATCTTTAGTTTTCAACCTTTGGCATGATGGATTGCGAATCGTTAATTGTGCATATCGCAATGGATTCGTTTTCCACTCTCTTGGGCGAAGCACTCCGAGTCAATGGGAGTTTTTGTTCCACGATATCACAAGAACCGTCTTTTGGTTTTTGATGAAATATGTTGGTTTTTGATGTATAGATGCTCTAGTCTAATGCCCGGATTTTATTAGGTTTTGGTTTAAATTCATAGTTACTTAATTTGCATGATAATTACCTAATTTGCATGATAATTAGCTAATTTTTAGCTGTTTCATGACTGTTCCCCTGATATCTAAAGAACCACTCATAGGATGTTGATGATACTTGGTACATTACCTAATTTGCATAATGATAGTCAATTTTCGGCTTTTCCACCGATATCGCAAGTACTAATCATCACATTACAATGAAACTTAGTACATGGATGCCCTTGGATATTGTACAGACCTGGTAAGTTTTTGATTAAAGTGCAAGTTGCATATTAAGCTTAATCTAAGCTTTCTTTGATTTCAATTTGTTAATAAGCATTAGAAGGTGATTAACTATTGGAGGCCCCACAATTCTCGTAAACGAGCTAGGTATTCTGCTCGGATAGGCTGATTTATAAACCTGGACAGGCACCAAATTTGTTATACTAAAAATGCATTGAAAGAATGTACCACTATTTTTATATCACTCATAAGTGAAAAACCCGGATGTAATCAGTCTCCTGTAGCTTGAACTTGGTAACCTCGCTACAGTTAAAATATTGTCACCTATAAAGCTCACGGAAACATTTGGGACTTTGACTCGCACAGCAAATGTATAACACTGTCGCCAAACCCGATAATTAACGACATTGTCTTCGTGTCGTGATCGACATGGGTCCAACGTGACATATACAACACGTATAAAAAAAACAATGTTTGTTTACCAAATTAAAACGCATGTTGCGCTACAACTAAGATACTTTGGCTAATTAAACACTATATGCTAGAATAAATTATAAGTTATTCGTCCAGTTTCAATGTATCGGGATAGTTATAATTTGAGAGCGAACACTAAGCTCTTAATGTCACGTTGATACAAGTGTATCATTGCACAAACATTCATCATTGTTACTTTCAATTCATTTTGCACAGCCTATGTACTGAAGGACAGTGCTACCGCCTGTATACGTCATTTTGACGTCACGAGTGCTTCGCCGCTACAATACCATGTTGATACATCACAATTCATATCAATGTCTCAAGAAATTCTTTTTCATCTTCTTCTAGGACCCCAAGCCCCCGACTGATTCTACAGATGTCGATCTCAAACTCAAAGATGTGGAAGAAGGAGAGGTTGAAAAGAAACGCTACATGTGCGGCGGTTTCTTTGGATTCTCGTGTCTTGCGATTGTGGCATTTATAATTGGAGCTATTCTGGTTGCCGGAATTTCTGCAATTGCAACACTGGGAGCGCTTGGTTCGTATTACATGCATATATCATTAGCGTATAACATAGACTTGTCATCGCCACAGTGTGACGTTATATCGCGGTGATATACATTTCATAAATACCGTATCAGTATAATGCATACCATATGGTACTGGAATACTTTCAGAATTTGGGCATGGTTAGACCATGGTGTTCCGATTCACTGCTAATTTTAACAAGTTTGTGAAATTTTACAAAACGCGCAAAATGTGGAGCGTACGAAAAACCCGATAAAGCTATTGATATACATGTTTTATCATTATGTGCAGTCGCTGCATGATTTGTACGATTTTCTTTCAACTCACCTGGGACATCATATATTACATAAAGTTGTGTTCTTGTAAATAACAAGTTTATTATCCTTAAATATGGACGAAATATATTGCATATGTTTTTAAGAGAATAGACCCGGAGTATGGCGAATACGAGGTACTGTTTTGTTCCGTGCGGTAATTTTGGAATATTCGCTTGATGTGTAACCATGTACATAAATTCAGCCCCTTAGAAAGCAAAATTATGTGGTGACGTATTTCTACCGAATTGAGTTTAAAATAATAACCCGGCCGTTCAAATACATGGTCCGGCACAGGTCTACGTTTTGACTGAACTCAACAATTTCAAAGTTTGTCAAATAGTACCATCCTTTATTCGATTAAAAATGACTAAGTCCAACTAGAACCTGTTCTATGTTTGAAAATTGTGTGTCCATGAATACGATCATTGTATAATCCTGTATTAGTCCTAACTGTGACGTCATATTATACGCGTAAATCCCCAGTTATATACGCCTACGGCTCGGAATTCTCGTACGGGCCGCACTTCAAGTTGTTAGGAATACCGGGAGACTGTATATAAATTGGCGTTATGTGAAATTTTGTAAAAAAAAAAAGTGATTTATATTTGGTGAACATTGACTTCTTTGCCTAACTGTGGCGAGGTTAACTTGATATACATGAGGCGGTATCACCCCTAAATATAATAATCAACCCTAATTGTAATACAAATAGGGTTGGAATGACAATGTGTTGATCGTTAGTACAATTAGAGTTGATATGGTTAATCGTTATTGCAAATAGGATTGATTATTACATTAAAGATGTGTTAAGATAGAAGCCTACTCATAAATTAAAAAACCCAGAATTTATTCGTTTTGCAATAAAATGTACTCCACGGCAATATAAGGATATTGACCTTAAAAAGTTGGGGGTCACCAGCCTTTTTTTCGAGAAATTGATGGTTGTATTTTAGTGGAAAGTCGCCATTTTGACACTATTATAACACTTTTACCACAGGTTCCTATGGCAGAGATATTATGCAATATCTCAAAATCCAGCCTGGTGACATAGGCTGAAAAAATCATATATTGTTAAAGATGGAGTACATTTTGTTGTTCTGAATTTTTTTAAAATTCTGGGTTTTAAAAAGTGTCAAAAAATGCAATTTTTCTTTAACATTGTGTTCTATGGAATTGTTCTAAAAATAGCAATTTTCAAGAAATATTAAGACACGTTTCTCAAAAAGCTTAACTGTAACACACAAAATAATGCTATTTCATTGTACCATGATACATTAGCTTCATGATTGTACATAATAAACTAATGAACATTGTTATGCAATTTATGACCAATTTTGTCAGAAATTATGACCAGGCTTCTACCTTAAAGTAAAAAACATCGCACCTGTTTATATGATCATGCCTTTGAGTGGTGATAGTTCAATGCGCATGCGCCCAACATGTTATGTTGATAATAGCTATAGTACCGTGACATTGACAAATATTCAATTTTAAAAACGCCTACATTTGGCAGGGATTCGAAAGCGTATTCAGCCTACAAATTTCTGATACTATTTCAATGGATCAATTATTTCCATACATACAACTAGTCATGGGAAAGTCACTTACATCTCATTTTGTGGGTTTTGTCTTGTAGGATATTTGGACATGATGAAAGGTACCATAAGACCAAAGCCAACATACACCACAAAGACAGAAACGCCAACTGTTACGTCAGTGTATAACGTCACAACACAATCACCAAATGTTACTATAACAACAACGGAATTACCAACAAAAACGGAGTTAACAACGGAGTTACCCGTTATTACCTCTTCACTGTCACCCGTGACGACATCCCATTCGACGACTCCAAAAATAACAACAGGTAAGGTCATGTCGAGCTCTCTATTATCAGAATTAACTGAGCCAACACTGGGTCTTATTCTATAACCACATCTAAAATATTAACAGGTGATGGGGCTTTAACAAATTTAATTTCAGCAATGCCGACCACATCCCCGGAAGTCATGACATCCACTAAAGTACATAGAACCTTTGCGGCTGCATCAACAACACCGACGACCAGAACAGATTCAAATATCATTGAAACCAGTAGTTCCACAATTCCATTCCGTGAGAGTACAATCTATGAAACAAGTTCAGAGCGATTGTCAACAGCTGTATCGTTGACGACGCAAATGCCGGCAACCGTACACCCAACGACAACCATGGGCACAACTACGGAGGGATTGTCAACAGCTGTATCGTTGACGACGCAAATGCCGGCAACCGTACACCCTACGACAATCATGGACACAATTACGACAACATCTCATGTGGCACCTACAACAGAAATAGCACAAACGACAATTTCAAATAATTCAACTTTTTATGAAACAACGGAGACTGGTGAAAGGACATTAACTCCAACTGGGAAATCTGAGTCAACATTGGCATCGTTGTACCCGGAAACAAGTCCACATAGAACCTTTGCAGCTACATCAACAATACCGACGACCAGAACAGATACTCCAACAGAGTCAAATATTATTAAAACCACTAGTCCTAGTTCATCAGCTACATATTCACCAGTTACCACAGGACGACTGACAACAGCTATACCGTTGACGACGGAAATACCGACAACAACAGTCGTCCAGCCTACCGTCATCCCTACGACAACCATGCACACAATTACGACAACGTCACATGCGACACCTATAACAGAAAAGGCACAAACGACAATTTCCAGTGACACAACAAAAAAGTCAACTATTTACGGAACAACAGAGACCAGTGAAAGTACATTAACCCCATCTGTGTCAACATTGGCATACCTGACATCAAGCTCCTACCCAGAAACAAGTCCCCAGGGAACAAGTACTCCCACAAGTACGGTAACAATTGAGAGTGAAACTATTGCGAAGACATCGAGCGCGACAAAGCTGACAACCGAAACGCAGTTCACCATTGTACCTACCGGCGTAGAGCACACAGTAACGACGGCACCAACTGTCGCTACAAGGGACTACACAAACATTCTAACTACCATGCCACCGACTTCGATGCCTGTCTTGTCAACAACTCCAGCAACAACTCCTACAGATGTTATAACGACACCAATGGTCCGCACAACAATTCCAACGACTCAAATGAACACCCTGGTAGCTACAATTACACCTTCCGCGGTGGGATCGACATTGCGTACAAGTTAGTATCAAACATTTACCGTGCACTTGCTAGAAGTAGAGGCGATCTTCACTGCTACAGTACGCTATAATATTGTAGTTTTGATGCTGACAGCTATTTCTATAATAATTGTTTTTAAATTATAACTATATGGTAAACCAAGTTCTGAAAAACAGTTTCGCAAACCCTGTTACACCCGACATTACGCTGCCAGTGACATTTTGGTAATACATGTTTCTTCTTCTCAATATAGAATTATCTTCGTGTTTTTTTTTAATCTCTGATAACTTTGAACATCTTCTCTCTTCATTCGTGAACGTGATCTGTGTTTGTATACGTCAACGGGTTATAGAAGTTAACAACATTGGATCTGTTTAGTTATTTCTTTCTTTTATACAGAATTTCTTTGAAACCATAAGCATAAAATTGTATTTTCATAGCTTTTCTAAAAATATAAAATTTTATATGATTTTTTTTTTTTGCGACGATAACTTCTTGTAGGCGTGAGCTTATTTCCAGTTGCCTATGTACGCTACGTCATACTTTTTTGCTCAGATCTTTTTTATATGTTGATGTGTCTGCTGTGAATAATTACTTCTGTTATTACGTCTTGTAAACGTTATTTCCAGCTGGCAATGTAATATACTACGTTAGAATGTCTTACCTAGGATTTCTTATAAAACAGAATGTGCTGCGTATATATATACTTTTTTCTGTGCTTAAATCTGTGTGTCAAATCGTTGTAGATGCAATATACAATCTCTGCAATGCTTACTTCAGTACTTACTTCTTATAATTAATCTCATAATTTATCTCGTAGTGTACATGCTTCCTCACAAATTATAGATGTATTTCTTCAAATTCCTGTGTTCTATACCTACTGACTGACTTTAGTTTAATACCTGTGTGATGTATTAGTACGTTATTTTATATCACGTATATTACACGGTGCTCTACCCACATTACTCCATATCTTATCACATCACACGCCATCTCCAAATCGCACCCTCTAGTGATATCGTTTTGATTTGTAGTCGTTTATCAAGTTTTTGAGATATTTCGACTATATTCTAGACGAACGAACGACTACGCAATTAGTGGGTGATTATATTCACCAATCTACGTCATTTTGACGTCACAGTGCGTTCCAATGCTAGAGGGCGCGGTTTATTAGAGTGGTAAATATTATTACCAAAATGATTTCCCAGCACTGGTGCTAATGGTAGCTTTATTCAATTCTATATTTTTGGGGTCTGATTATTTATACTATATAATAGCCACATAAGAAGTGGTGTACACAATAATTGGTAGCTGTAGGCACCTGTATCTTCTCACATACTCTCAAGCACATAACTCCATTAATTAAAGGCAAATTTGAATTGAACTAACAATTATTGAAAACATTGACAATACAATCACTCAATTTATACAACTATTAGCGGCACTAATATTCTTTTATCGCAAAATATGACTTCGCAGACCATTTGTGAATTTCCGGTTGGCGCCACATTTCGTTCTATTACGTTAGCAACGAGTCGGTTTACGTCGCGCACCGTGACGATTATCAGAAATGTACACCAAGTCCTTGTTTGTCAGTCGTTTTTTTTTTTTTTTTTTTGTACTTCGTATCAAACATTATCGAAATGAAAATAACATGATTTTACAAATCAAACACACTAAACAAAAGAATGACACTCTACCCGAACATTAAATACAGATCCAAATTAATAATGGTATTTGGATGGCTATTTTAGTGATGACAACACGACTAACTTAAAATAGTATTGTAAACAAAAAAATGGATTTTATGTGGTTATGTATTTGTTTTATAACCATACACTGATATGTGTTTTTACAGCTATACCCTCTCTGGGATACAATTACTCCGAAGTACTCCACAAGTCTATTTTGTTTTATGAAGCTGAGAGATCCGGTGAACTTCCACCAGACAACCGCATACCCTACCGTCGAGATTCCGCCATGGAAGATCAAGGTTTGAACGGCGAAGACCTAACGGGCGGATGGTACGATGGTGAGAATATTTCTGAAAAAAATCTGTTAGTATGAATTTTGTTGAATACACCTGTGTACCGTGCATGTTGTAAAGACGGAGGGGATGTGTTTAGCAGTGGTGCGAATCCGATCGGTGTTTGTTTTCGCAACCCGTCTTTCATGGGCACTGTATTTCAATATAAGTATTAACAAATATTAATTTTCTATATTTGAACAGTTTGTCACTGTTAGACATCAACTTAGACTATTACTCACATAAATGCCACATGCGGAATCATGTTTTTCTTTCTGATTGCCACGGGTGCTGCTAATTCCAAATCCCCTGCCAAGTGTCAATCAAATGCATATATATAATCTTATTCATTTTTTCTAGCTGGAGACCATTTGAAATCTACGTTTTCCACAGCATACGCTGTGTCCACACTCACTTGGGGATTTCTAGCCTTCCCCGATGGTTATAGGGAAGCTGGCGAATATGACAGGTTCTTGGACTCAATAAAATGGCCTTTAGATTGGTTATTGAAAGCTCATACGATACCAGGAGAGGAACTATATGTACAGGTGATTAATAGTTTTACATTGCAAACCTAACTTGAATCAGTATGTATTCTATTAGAAACTCGCACTGTGCATTTTACTGCCTGGAAAGTGAATGGTTCACGATTCCACCACACCATTACGTACCATCTCATTGACTCATCTATCTTGCAGGTTGGCCTGCCAAGTGCTGACCACCGATACTGGGGGCGTCCTGAAGAAATGACAATGGATCGACCTGCTTATAAAATCGACGCTGAGAACCCTGGATCTGACGTAGCCGGACAAACCGCTGCCGCAATGGCTGCAGGGTATTTGGCATTTCGCGACTCAGGTAACGTGTAGTTTAAAGTGAGGTGGTCGTCGCGCTGCGCATGTGCGACATTTGTGTTGATAAACATTGATTTACCCACAATCCAATGTGCTCTTCAAATGGAAATCACATGTTTGAGGTTTGACCTGGGCGCGACTTGCACTGATTACCGCCGGTGATTCCCTCGATACCTTCCAATCACTTAAGAAAGTACCTACTAGTAATTAAAGCTTGGAATCGTCTCAGTTTGTACTCGTTGATCTTCATACAATTCAAAGTCGCCATCTTTGTTTATATGAGACCCATATAACTCGCGCATGTGTGGCGCGACGACTACCGCGCTTTAAACAAGTTGGTATCTAGGTACCGATGAGAATTATTAAACAATGTGTCATGTGGTAGACGTAACATTTTTACTCTGTATTTAATGTTATCAGATCCTGACTATGCCGACACACTCTTAAATAACTCAAGATTGTTGTATACTTTCGCCAGTACATACCGAGGTCGGTATAGTGACGTTTTGGACACCGTTATCTACACGTAAGTATGTTCTATCTAAAATAGAGCGCAGTTTACAAATTATGTCACTGATCATTACGTAATGTGATTAAATATTCATCATGTGCCTCACATTCATTGGATCGGACAACATAATAAGTAAACACAGACGTATTTATAGATGTTGTGGCATTAAAACTATTTTATTATTGTGGTATTAATGTTCCTTGGTAACAAATCCCTGAAATGTCGCATCGAAGTAACATTTACCTCATTGGGTTGAATAGTTTCACGCGCTGAATAACTTTCTATGCATTGTGTTTCAGGTCGGGTGCATACGGCGATGAGCTAGCCTGGGCAGCCGTTTGGCTGCACCTAGCAACCGGCGAGCAGTCATACCTCGACGACGCTATGGAGTTCTACGAAGAATTTGAATTGTGGAAAAATCCCAGACATTTAGTTGGAATGTAAAAACAGCCGGCGTCCAGGTACGCACGTAGCTCTT